TGCTTTTAGTCCGTTTTTATTTCCCGGGGGGGGGGGGGTTCCTGCCTCCCCACGCTTACTTTAGGGGGGACTTTCAGCCATTTCTCTGGTTCTCGTTTCAACCAAACTCACTCTCAATGTAGATCTTGCCATCAAATGTGTAAAATGCTCTACCTCCACTCGCTTGTCCTGGTGTGTGTCTCTGAGTCCAGTACTGGAACACAGCGGCGAGATTGTCGGGGCATCGGAACACCTCAATCCACCGGCACTGTGCTGAGGGAGAGGCGATCCTTAGCACCCCATGGCTAGGAGCCCTTTGCAAGGGCCCCAGGGGGGCGCATACAATCGCACCCCCTCTCATCCACTGGCTCACGGATCATGTCCTTTGGAGCTCTCGAGAGATGCATCCACCATTAGAACACCAAAACCGGAAGTCCCTGAGAGAGCTCTTTCAAGAACTGCCCTTTCAAGGACAGCTCTGACAGAACTATGGCTTGCCCAAGGTCATCCAGCAGCTGCAAGTAGAGGAGTGGGGAATCAAACCCGATTCTCCCAGATTAGAGTCTGCCCACTTAACCACTACACCAAACTGGCTCTCATGTGAAAGTGTGCTCATGTGAATGCCAAGAAAGGGAACTTTAATGAGTCCAGGGCTGCAATCATACGCACAATTAGACCCAACATAGGTGTGAATGCCCGTCGGATTTAAAGGGCACGATCAGACAACAACATCTGGGAAGCACCCTGCAGCTGTCAGCAACCCATTCTGCTCCACTGCAGAAGCAGAGTTAAAAGACACCAGGGAAAATCCGGTAGTAAACGGGTTATGATGGACCACAGATAGACTTTCCTGTGTCTGATCGCTCCAAAATGCTCTCATGGCATCAGGATGGTCTGATCAGGCCATCCTGACTCCATGGCATCGTTTACCCTCCCCCCCTCGCAGTATGCGCATCATCACAAACTCCATAGGGAGCCCTTGGTGCAGAGGTGTGATTCATTGATCCCTTGGTTAAGCACATGGGGAAAAAATAGCACAAAAGCCCCTGACTCACCCGCAGTTGCGTCTGATCACACACTGACGAACTGCGCCTACAGCTTCAAAGGAAGCTGTGATCATGCAACTGCAGGTCAAATTCCTCCAGAGGAAATAGCTTCGCTTCCCCCCCATTTTTTCTGGCACATGTGACCACAACCCAGGTGAGTCTCTGCTGATCATGGAAGACACTTATGATGTCCTGCTGCCCCCTGGTGGGGCCACACACAGTTTCTGACATATCATAGGCATATGAAGAAATCCCTGTATATGTCACATGTACATCATAAACTGTGGAAAACACATACATGTCTGTTTCATTGCAGGCAACAATGCATGGTATTTGGAAATTCAATTTACTTACACGTGGACATTTGAACAGGTATTACAGGGGCATAGAAGCAAGCACACAGAAGACCACCTGAAGTCAAAATTGGTATCAATGCCTTCAAATCCCAAAAACCATGTCTGCCAGCAGATGTCTTTTGTCAGTTTTTCAGTTGACTTCCTAACTCAAAAGTGTTTTCCGCATAATTTGGTATGTACCCTGCACTGAGATCGGATGAACCAATCACTCCTCTTCCCTTCCAAACAGGTGTGACCTGACTGTACTAGGGGCAGAATAGGTTTGCTGCATTGATTGCTCATTTATGAGCAAACGCCGTTAGTGACCAAGCCACACCAAAGGTACAGTGTCCCTTAAGTTTTACTAGGACTTTCTTGTACATTCACACAGTTCCTTTGGGCAGTTGCTATGATTACTTCAAAATATATTCCGCTTTCCTTGGTCCAAAATCAGTTGGAGACACCAAAAGCTGGAAACTGCACTTTACCATGCAGCCTGTAATATAGTATGTGCTAACACAGCCCTAATTTTATTTTCCACATTCTGATCCTCTAGTTATACCTAGGTCAGCAAGTATAGTTATTCCTCTCTGCCCAACCCCAAATTAACTCACCCTGGCAATGACTGATCTCACATTAAATACAGTAAAACCTGCCCTAAAGATTCTGCTCTCTGAAATGGTGAACACATTAAAGTTTCTGCATGACTTCCAAGAGAGCCGCGTTCAACCTTTACTTAATGGCTCACTACATTCATCAAGGTGTCTTTTCAGGTCCTCATGGACTTCCTTAAATTCCAATCACACTTTTCTAAAGTATCGCATTGCAAATTAGTTTTTGCCAGTGCTCGAGGCAGACCCTGGCCTCAGGAAACTTGACTTGTTCAGAGATGGCAATAATATTTGGGAGGCCTGATGCAGCTCCTGAAAGGGAAAAGTAGTGGAATGGGCAGGCAGGAGACTTGCACTATCACGTTGTCTGAGGGACACAGACTATGTGGAGCAATTCCTGGAACAATGGATAGTGAAGTGATTTCTGTGTATTCCCCTTTGTGGCCTTTCCCCCATCCACTGCATCTCACACCACTTAGGACTGGGGGTGAGGGAGACCTAGGAGGCTGTGGTGGGATGGAGCAAAGATCATCTCTGTAAACTTTCATGCCTAGTTTCATTCCCAGTACTAGAGGGCCAAACCCTATTATTACAAAAGTGGCACTGTGTGATGCAGTAGTCAAAAGTAAAATGATTGTAAAGCATACATAGGAAGCAGTGCAGCATAGGCTGCCTTCTTTTTTTTCTTTTTTTTTTAATTTTATTGTTTTAATAACGCATAAATATTTCAAACAACACTTACTTCCAAGATCTACATGTCCATACATCAGAATTAAAAAAACAATCAGTTTAACAACTAGCCAAACATCATACAGCTCTGTCACCGTCCCCAGGCTATCTCCTACAAGTATAACCAGCAATGGTAGGCTGCCTTCTTGATACGCAATTGTTTATAACTACCTGATACAGTCACCAAGGCTTGGACAGACAAAAAGCCCAGTGAAAATGTACATAATGCTCCATGTTAAAAGTCTTTGTTATGGGTAAGAAGTTCCTTATAATGGGTTGGATCCAGCCAGCTTTTCAGCTGGTGAGAAAGGAATGAGGGGTCCTATTTGACTACCCAGAAAGGCTACACTGGAGATTATGGGACCTGCATGGACAAAAGTCATATAGGATGGGGGCTGTGGCAAGGAGGGGAATTGGGCAAGGTTGTGTGACATATCTGGCAGGATCCAACTAAGTATTTGGGATCTGTGGCAAATAGTCATTACCAAAATATTCTCTGGTCACCTGAGTAGAAGAATCATAACTATATGACCATTTCTCTTCTGTGGGTATGGATCTGTGCCCTCCATTGGAAGACAGAGTGCTGATGGAGTGACCCAAAGCCCTACATGCTTATCAAAGTGGTGAAGTTCTGAACTGGAGTATCAGGATGCCAAAGGACAGTGGATATGTCCTGGGGTTACTCTAGAAAAACTAATGAAGAAGGAGCACAGATGTGTACGAAATCTGTTGCTATGGGAGCAAGGATGTTACTGCATACAGGTTTTGAAAAAATACACTCATTGCTAGATATTATGCTATAGCTGCACCACAGCAATCATTCATGACTAGATTTTCCTACAATATTGACCTGTCTTTGGATGCTGCCTAAATAATACTTTACAGAATGAAGTTAAACAATATGGTAATGAGTTGGTGGTCATCTTATTAAAGCCAAGAAATCTGTCCATGACTTTTTCAGATCAAAAGTTATTCATACATTCTTTTTCATTGCCATTAAGGCATTTAACCTGCTACTCAAGAATCATTTGCTTGATGGATGGATGGACAGACAGACAGACAGACAGAAAGATAGACAAATAGATCTGACATGGCAACCTTGCAGTGTTTTCAAGGCAAGAGACCTTCAGAGGTGGTTTACTGTTGCCTGCCTCTTTGCCCGACCCTACTTAGTTTCTGAGATCTGATGAGAATCAGGATAGTCTGGGCTATCCAGGGCAGGGTATCTCTCCCTCCCACCCCCCATGCATGGATAGCCTTGCCAGCCCTTGTCCCTGACTAAGGAGAGGCAGCTCAGGGGTTCGCCCGGCTTGGCTGATTTCTGTCTCCTGATGGGTGGAGGATGGGAGTGCGTGAAGGAGGCTTCCTGAACTGCCTACAGGCCTTCTAAAACCTGGATCCATGCTTTAGGAACTTAATATGCTGTGACTGAAATCTGCCAGGAAAAGGGAACTATTTAGGGATACCCCTGTTGGAATTGTCTCTGGGCATGTATGAATAGGCCTAAGGAGTTCTGGGCTGCAGATGCCAGACAGAAGTAAACTGCAGTCCTAAACTGATTTACATGGTTCTACATCCAGTGAAATCTATTGGCTTAGAAGGTTGTTCTGCAACATAGGATTGCACTGTCAGATGGGCATTTCTAATATAATTTAGATTTCTAGTAAATCTTTAGTCATCTGCATATCTTTTATTGCTCTGTAGCTACCTTATCCTTGAAGTAGCAACCCCATCGAGCAACAGACTTTTTTTTGTTTGGATCATTTTGTTTAATTTAAGATTGTTGGTGAGTGTCCGCTTTTTTCAAGCTCCTGCTTTCCTCTCTGGATACTTTTCTCCCATATCCAGCTCTTAGGGATGCAGAACATACACAGGAGATAGACAGCCAATCAGGATCAATGTAAACACATCTGCTGGACAGATTCATTCAGTAGGTCTTAGGAGGGACTTTGTTGGACCCTGTTTAATAGAGCCCTGACCTAATGAATTTAATTTGTTGACACTTTTTTCCCTCGGTCTTCTGCTTGATCCTTTCTCACATTACCCTCTGCTGTGCTTCTTTCCTGTCAACAGCAGATCCTAGAGGGTCGCCGTATCCAGCAATTGCAAATGTACCGGGCTCAGATGGCTACAGTTGACATAGCGCGATTGGATAGACGTCAGCCTGTTGCTAGGACACAGTCTTCGCCAGCAACTCCAACATTGCCTCACCCAGCTGTGGATCAGCCCATACAACATAGCCTCATGACTGGTACGGCTCCCTAAAGACTCCATTTAATAGGCAGAGTAAATGCACGGTTCATGTAGGATCAGTTGATTTAAATGCCGTACATGCCTCTTTATGCTGTAGCAGGGCATTCATTTTTAACTCTGTCCTATTGGACTTTATGATGTATTGGCTTTAAGTCAACTAGTGCAGCTGATAAGCCACATGGATAATATTCACACACTCATAAATTAATGCTGTTGATTGACTCCACCAGTCAAGCAACAGGTGCATTTAGGGTGCCGTTCAGCCCTTTATTATTTTTCCTTTTATTTCTCTTTGTCATACACGCTGAGTTTTTTTGCGTAGACCACCAACAAGTTGAAACAAGACTACCACTAAATAGCATGACTGGGATAGATATTCCCAGCGCTGTCATTTGCCTCCAGTCGGATGGTCACTCAGTGATGCCAAAGTGATGTTGTTATGGAAAACCCAGTCATGGTTGAAACACAAATGACATAATCTGAGAAATGGTGTTTTGCTCTCCACAAAGAATGGCTGGCATGTGCTTGTGGCACTTGGTGATGAGGAAGTTCTGCTAGCCACACCCACTGTTTGTTGAGCTTTGGGCTGCCATTTCTTCTTCTAAGGCTTTTGCTTTCCCTTTCATACAATATACTTGAGGCAAACAATCCACACTAGCACTGTCATAAAGATGGGACTGATATGATTTACAAAGCCTATGCAATATCCGTGGGTGCAGGGCTCTAGTCGGGGGGGAGCTCTCAGGTACGGAGCTCCGGAAGAGAACCTCTAGGGGGCGGGGCGGTCACGTGGTGAAGCCCCGCCCCCTTCTTTACCCCGCCCTCTGCTTCGATCCTCATTCCGTTTGGGAATGAGGATGAAGCAGGAGGGTAAGTAGCCGAGGCTTCTGACACACTTCCGGTGATGTCAGGGGGTGTGGCCTTCTGTCACTTCCGGTGATGTCAGGGGGCGTGGCATATGCAAATAAGCTATGCTAATGAGTTATGCTAATGAGCTCCGGCAGCTCTTTTTCTACAACAAGACCCCTGCGTGGGTGAAAGATGAGACCAGACATGTATTTGCATTCTTTGAAACCTCATTTGGACTAAAATGATAAAGCCCCAACATTTCTTGGGTTTAACAGAATTTATTTTAATTCCCACTGAGCCAACTGAAATGTTATTTTTTTAAAAAAACAACAACAGCCCAGTGTATTGTATTGAGCATCCAAAGCCACTTGATTTCCCTCCTTTATTTGGACTACTACCAAGCAGGGACTTTTAATTATGCGAATGCAATAGTATTATTGTTAATAGAGGAACTAGCCTTTTATACCAACATTTTAGAAGTTCTTCTGTGCCACAGTATTTGCTCTGAAGATCTGAAATG